AATGTTGGTCTGACCTTTGTAGATATGTGGAAGTAATGATGAATAAAGAGAAAAGAAATTCATAAACTAACTATCAGTATATCAAAATAAATCGAAAAGTAAAATATCTAAATAATACATCAAATAAATATCGAAATAGTCATTCAACATGGCAAAGTCTTCATGTGTACAGGAACAAAGGCATACTAGACACTTGAATGCATTAAGGGATTTTTATAGCATAAAATCAACTGACATTAAATAGTATGAAATGTAGACAGCAATTTTCATTTTTTTTTAATTTACCATATATGACATTAATAAGTGCATAAACACGAACTTAAAACAAAGAGAATAATATTTGGATCCAAACTATCAGCATTAAACAAAAACTTAAGGTATTTCACATTCCATCTGCTTAACAATGTCCTAAGTTACTAAAAATGAATTTACAATTTATGTATCCAATTAAACCCAATAGGCTTCCTACATTAAAAGGTCTTGCGATCAGGGGAATCTTTAATATTTTCAATTACTATTTACTTGGTTTAGATTTATTCTCTTATTTATACATGGATTCCACAAGACAAAATTGCTGACTACTTTAAAGTAGAACATTTTTGTTGAGTGTAAGTAAGTAAATATTTTATAGAAGCAAATAGTTAAATCACACTTGAATGTAAAGTGACTAAAGCATGTCACATCAGTTTATCTAGACCGACCATGAAAGGTGTGGTATACCTTCTCAACGAACAATTAACAAAGATGTTCTCGAGATCTCCCACATCATGAATGTATAAATTTGGGTATAATATGATACAACGTTTCACCGAGAAAACTTAAGGACAAGGAGAATTCAATATTTCCTAGCTCCTTCTACACGCTACAGTGATATTTTACAAGGCTCCAAAGGCAAATACCGCTTTACTTAAACAAATAATTAAAATACCATTTTTAACACATAAAGCAAAATTTAAGTTGGACAGCATCATCAAAAACAAATTTATCAGAAAATCTTTGATTCTTAAGTCCATAATTTGAGTGAAAAGAAATAAGAAAAACAACAGCTATACCCATAGTTTGACTCTTAGTTTAAAAAGCCTTTAATAAGAATAGAAAAGATTTGATTTATCAATGTAGGCTAATAGAGTATTAAAACTTCTTAATGTTTTGAAGATAAAAGAAAAAAATCTCTCAAAAATTTTTCTCCCTAAGTTATGACAGGAAGAACACGACAGGAAACTTACAATGAAATGTTATCAGTTGAAAACTAATAAATATCTAAAATGCATGTCAAATCTAAAGCTTTAAACGTCCTTAATCGATAGCAATAAGATTGAATTATGTACAAAATTAACAAGATAAACTGAATTTAGGATATATTTGTCCATTTAAAGATAAACTACTTTAGAACATAAATGTGAGAACTGTTGATACATTTATACAAGAATATCCAGCATTTGTAACATACAAAAGCCAAATAACTAACAGATAATGTCATTTAGCCACCTGGTGACATGGTCCTGAACTACTTTCTTTTACTGTCATTAAACCAGCTTGTGACACGGTCTTGAACTACTTTCTTTTAATGCCTAATCAATAAACAAAGTCAGGTTTATTTCATTTGAGTTTTCAGTCAAATTTGACACCAGCTTTACAAATTTCTATAAATCTGAACAGCCATGAACTGATACTCTGTAATCAGAACATTCTCACTTTAAATTTTGCCTGACAATGATGGTGGAAGAACTCTGGTCTGGAGTAAATGGTAGAAGAGAAGAAATGGATAATTTGGACAGGACTGAAGTGGCTGGTGGAAGAGTATATATGAGATATTCTGGCCTGGTGGTAATGGTGTGGATGGTGGAAGAGTAGCAATGGAGAATTCAGCAGGCAATTACTCAAAAACAAACAACAATTTCTAGCACAGAACCAGAGACATAGATAACATCTCTGACAGAACAAGTAGCATTATAAAAATACATTTGGGCAACACTTTTGGATATAATACAGTGACCGATATCAAATATATAATGTCACCTAATTATTTACTTTTGTATGTTAACCCATTGCTTCATGAGCATTTTGTGAAAAATGGCTGTTTTCATTGAAAAGTCTCCCGTTACAAGTTCAAATTGCTATAATACTATAAAAACTGCTTCAACACTAATCAAACTTGGCACAAATGTTGACTGAACCATTGTCCTTGCAACAACATGCTCAGACTTAAATTTTCTGTTACCATGGCAACGAGGGGACATCTCAAAATTGCCAAAAATCACTATTTTGCGTTGATTTTTTCCATCAAAATTGATTTCAAAGTGCTGCAACTTATCAATGGATTGAGATAGAGTCAAATGCTTTTCAGCGTTGGTTACACGTTACCTTATGATCAATCTGGGGTCATTTACAGCCTCTCACAAGTCCAAAATTTTCTTGGCGATGAGGGGGACTCCGCCCCCCTTCAAACCCCCCAAAACAGAAGGGGGCACATCCCCCTTCTGGCAACCCCATGATGTATCTTTTGGTTGGGGGGCCGCGCCGAAAAAGAGGTCAATTTTTTTAACAACATTTCTCAAACAAAAACAAGTGTTTGGGGCCTAAATAAGGCATTTTTTCATCATTTGAGACAACAAAAAGGGGGGGGGGGTGAAAAAGGCGTTAAAAGGCGTGTATATGAAGTAATGGGTTAATTGAATGGCAGAAAAAAAGTTTCTCATATGTGTATAGTTGCTATAATTTCATATGTATGAGTATTTTATTAGACATGTCTAATGAGACTAATCACTTGCCACTCATCTGTGACTTCAAATCTGATATAAGATATTTGATTCAATTTCTATATGAGGATACTATCTTGCTAAATAAAGTTCTATGATTGCTGGCAGCAACAAATTCTACCCATGCCACCAGTGCAGACTAAGATCAGCTGGCACATCTGTTCGCTATTTAGTCAGTACTTATTTAGGAATGTTCTCTCAAAAAAGGTGAATGGTTTTGCCCAAATTTAAAGATTGACAAGTCTTTTTAAGTTATTTAGCAAGGTCAATAAAGTGTCCTTGAAGGGCATTTGTTTACTGGTGTACATGCATGCTCCTTTATTAAACAATGGCTATTATGTGCCACTGAGGTCTCCCTTTTCCAGCACAACTGGAAGGTTACTCATCAGACCTTTATGATAACATGGATTATAAATTGTATGTATTTGAATTATGGGAAAAGTAAGAAAACCTAATATTTGTATTAATTAAACACTGAACATTACTAGAACATAAGATAACAGATTTAATTGTTTGTTCAGCATGAGATAATCATGACTACAAGAACAGAGATGTAGAAACCTGTATGATTCTCTGGGCAAGCTGTTGCTGTTCAATGATCCTAATTTATGGATTCTGTATAGTGTATATGGAGTAAAACTTACCATAACATACCATTTAATCACTTCAAATTGACTTCACAGCTATATAAATATGCTAATACTGTGTAAAGGTAGCAGCGTAGGTTATTTCTTTATTGTAGTTTGATATTTTATATGGCTATTAAAATGTCTATCTTGCTTTGTCAATGAAATATAATTTTCCCTTGGTCAAGAGTCAAGGTTCTCTTCTTGGTAGATGAATTAGTCACAATATTTCATAATTATTTTAACAAAATATAAATACAGGTATTTTCATAACGTGATACATCCCTCAATATTAAGAGTGCCATTAAGGACACAGAGCAAGAAATGCACTTTTCGTTTCCTCATCTATGATGCGAACTTCATCACTGTTGAAAAAGTGGCATCATTCAATAGTGTCACAATTTGGGCTGTTAAGTTGGTAAATGGCAGTGCGATGAGCAGGGGTATAGCTGTTAAGTTGGTAAATGGCAGCCCAATGAGCATGGGTAAAGGTGTTAAGTTGGTAAATTGCAGCCCAATGAGCAGGGGTCACACTGTTAGTTGGTAAATGGCAGGCCATTGAGCAGGGGTAAAGCTGTTAAGTTGGTAAATAGCAGACCTGAATGAGCAGGGGTAAAACTGTTAAGTTGGTAAATGGCAGTGCGACGAGCAGAGGTAAAGCTGTTAAGTTGATTAATGACAGCCCAATGAGCAGGGGACACACTGTTAAGTGGGTTACCACATTCAGTTTATATTTTTACAAAAACATATGGCTGCTTTATAATTAACCTACTCCAAACAAAATTCAGACAAAAGTGTAATTATTCTTAATTTGTTAAATGTCATTGTTTCATGATGTCAGTTTATCATCAACATGATTTAGTAAATTATCATGTATCAGCTGACATCATTACTGACTTTAAATACCTTACAATAATCTTAAGAGGATCACAAAAATGCAAAAGAGTGTAAAGATTTTCATTCCTACATAATATCTTACATTAATATGTTAAATCTCACCTAGTTTAACTGTCAGTTTGATAACAAAAATGCACTCTGTATACATTTTTTTATTGTCGGCCTACTTACACTTATATAGATCTTTGAAAAAGGAATGATAATTTTACAGCCTGATGTAATAGCATAAAATATGATCTATTTTTATTTCTTAACCACTTTATAATGTGTACAGATTTTCTTTTACATTGTATAAAGATGCATAAACAATAAATATAATGATATTTCTTTTTAGAAATTTCTCCACTGTTTCAGACTGGTGAATTATTACCAGAACCTTTTGCACCAAGTTCAGTATCTAATAAACAAACTTATCAGGATTTTATAAAGAAACTAAATCCCAATTTGTTTGTTTCAAAAGTCAGCGATGAAAGAGGCTATATTTCCGGGGTATTTTTATTTTTGAAAGAAGAGAAGGCTTATTTCTTAAAGTAAAGTAGAAGGGTATTAAATATCAGTAAGAAAGATCTTCATGTAAAATAAATTACCAAGACTTATTTTTGGCTTGCCTACATTATACTACAGGGGATTTTAGCCCCCTACCAAATTATATGTGATTGCATGAGTTTTGAATAATCTGACTGATGAGTTAAATACAATGTTTGCTATGAAGTCTTACCAGATAAATATCCATCAACAGGTCCCTGACTGTAAAACAACAACTCATGGTGAATTCTTTCAGGTTCCGAAATACTGTCCTGCCATAAAGCTTGATCTGAAATAATTAAACAGCAAATAGTCCAGTAGTCTATTTTTTTAATTGAAAAGTACATAATCTCACTGTTTGAACCAGTAAAATAAAATAAAACAAACTCTGAATTGAGAGGCCATTGGTAAAGCAAATTGTCACCTCTTCACAACAACAAGTTTATTTAATCCTAAAGTAATATTTTACAAAAAAAACTTCTCTGTAGAGGCAACACCTGTTAGCATTAACCAAATCTTTGCCTACCAAAGGGTGTTGCTCTACAGAGGTTGTACCGTGTATATTTTTTCCAGTCCTTTACATTGAAAGATCAAGTAAAATTGATAGCCCCATCATTGGGTTTCATTTAAGTCATATTGATAATGTGCAAGACATATGGTGACTTTTCACTGTTGCCTTTAATAGCTTAGGCATCAGAATTACAGCCATCGTTTCTCCTAAGTTGTGTGATTGTAAGAGGCGACTTAAAAGATTTGAATTATTGTAGTCTATGCATATCTATAAGCTTCAGCAGGTGAGATGGTTTTGATCTCTGGTGTTGCTTTTATTTTGTAACACCCGGAGCTAGTCAAAACCATCTTTCCTGTTTCTGCGCCACATGACCTTACTTGTGTTGGTGTACCGTAAAACCAAATCAAATAAAAAATATGGTGACTTTCCAGATTTACTGATGGAGGAAGATCTCAGTGCCCCTATGCATAAAATATTTCAGGTTCATGTAGGTACCCAAGTAGAACCACCAACATTTTGTATGCCAGCTTGATTATAGCTTTTCTACTCCAGAAGGAATCTGGTCTCTCGCAGGATTGAAGACTATCTGGTTTAAAATGACTAAAATATTGGAGATGTAAATATTATCAAGCAAATGGCAGACTAGAGTTGAAGATTTCATCTAGTGATGTCTTAAACTCTTAAAGCTGTTTCACTATTAATATTGAGACACATTTGATGTTAATATGTGGTTTAATATCACTGACAATGTTATATTTGTGAGGTTAATAAATAGTAAATGAATGGTTAATTGAAATAGATTTCACGGGCACATTTATTTATCATAATTATAAAATGTAAGAGAAAATGTTTATTTATCAGACATCAAAAAATATTTTCAGTGTCATTCCTTCTGCAGGACGAGTAGCTTCTAAATCCAATGTGCAGGCAACATTTTTCTACTCACCCTGCATGGAGTTCTCTTAAACTCTACTTGTAATTACGAGCAAACGAGTAGAATTTTCGATCTCTGCTTATATCATGTTATATAATATTTCATTTTTGAATACAGGCAAAATTCATTTGACTGTCACATTTTTCATAACTATTATGTGTCTCGTAACCCACAATGATATACCAATAAACAAGAGTTTCAGATGATTTATCAACAGTCAACATTTAAACTATGTAATCACATATCAATTAACATCAATTGAGGAAGTGTCCATTTAATGACCACTACATCTGTCATGATAAATTAACTAACACCATTTAACATCAACTACTAAAACCTCAATCTTCATAATTAACCTCTGTACATATGTAAAATGTACCAGAAAATATGTGACAAAATTAAATTCCCATTATTTTTTCATGTCTTGCGATGATAAGATATGTGTAAAATAAATATAACTTTGGCATGAATTCGGTATAATTAATGACAGCTGTCTTTTAGATCATTTATTATTATGTTTTTACATTAACTTGATTTCATTTCTAAATATGCAGTTGAATACATTGAATAACTATAAAAAAAAATTTCAAGTGAAACGTGAATATTAAGTTTTAAAATTTATATTTTTAGATCACTTTTAATACGATAGTAAATAATGTTTGAAAAGAATTCTCATTATGATTTTTGAGTTACCAGTTTCATTTTTTTTCTTACATATTAAGGTGGTGGAAAATTTCAACATCACTAATCAAATGCAAAAGAACGTAATGTTTGCGTGCAAGTGCATATGTAAATAACAATAACCATAATATGTTTTTTATTATATTACTTAGAATAAACATCTGCAAGAACTTCCTTAATGTGACATGAAATTTAGGATGTTAAATTATCAAACTGTCATCTTCAGTGTCCTTTCATTATTATCAGAAAGAATTTGTATATAAACAATAATTTTTACACTCATTGCTCAATACTGGCTGGTTTCCAGGAAAAGTGTGTCTTGAAGCTTATTAGTAGGCAATTGAACTAAAATAAATATGTAGGTCCTGATGAAAATCATTGTTATGGTCGAAACTTATAATAGACATTAAATTATTTTAGCCTACCTAAGGTGGTGGTGACATGTTGTTACTCTTTACTTCATTCTTTCCTGACTTCAATTTAAAATAAGTTTGTATCAACTAAATACCAACATTAAATGCAATTTAATCATTTTTTCACCAGTTACATAACTTTTCTAAAAAAGCATTATTGTAATCGTTGTACTTTTACAATTACAATATGCTCTTTTTAAAAAGTTATGTTCATCTGCCAATGAGTATAATGGTTTTAATATTTTTCGTTTTATCAAATAAAACTTTGAAATATAAAGAAATGATAAATAATGCTCTTTATGCTATATATACACATTAAATTACTCTGTGATTATTTTTGAACCAGTATAAAGGGTCCATTGAAAAAAAAAAGCTTCTTTTTTCCCCCGAAAAGAATATGACCCAAATATTTGTTATAAAAACATACCCTTGGATCTTCATGTGCTTAAGTTTGGTTTGGTTTAGTTCATAAATTTCTTTGAAGTTTATAATCTATGGTTTTGTTTGTGACTTATAATGTGTATTTAAGTTTTGTTTAATCATGGATTTCTTTAATAATAAATTTATTAAAGCTGGACATACAAATTACAATGTATACATGTGGTTTAATTAGGTAAAAAATTGATGTAGAGTTTGGTAACGTTAATTAAACATTGACAAATTAATGAGTTACTTATACTGAACATTGGTATTACAAATAACATAAATAATCTATGCCTGATGAGTATGAATTTGTGCAGTCAATGACCATAAACTTATTTATAAATATTTGTTTTATACTTATATTGTGATACCCTGTATCAATAAAATATTTCGGATTCTCAGCTTACAGAAGAAGTTTTCTATATATGTACTACATTACATAATTGTATCTGGTTTTATGATACCCCCCTACACCCCCCCCCCCAGCACCCATCCCACACACAAACCAAATCCACCCACCCACACCTGATGTTCATTGTCATTAACTGATTAACTAATGAGATGGTAGAGACTGGATTGCTTTTAAATATTCTTTTAAATTTGTGTCTTATATTTTTACAATGAAAGTATACAAATCAATCTTGAGCACCTGGTTTACAATATATATTAAACCTGATAACAATTCATAAATAATATATTCAGTAGGACAAAATTCAAATCTGTTATGAAAAAACACTCTACTTTTTGTTCTCTCAATATTTGTTTACATTTTATGACAAGTGTTTCATTTTTTACCTGACGCTGAGCTCATACTCCTTTCTAAATCGTCGAAAAAAGCACGAAAACATTCAAATTAGCGAATAAATTTCCACATTTTATATCCGAAAATATCACAATTTATTTCCACAGAACATAAACGTTGTAAATAAATCCTAAACTTTTAACATTGACAGACCAAGCGTGTCACTCTCAAAATAGTGGAAACTGTCACCGGTCAGATAAGCTAGAATGAACGTACTCCGATACGCTTTAACGATTTATTGAGTCAGTCCTTTTATATAGCGTTTTAGCAAATAATAACGAGTGTGTACAAATCAAAACTGTAAATACTTGACAAGATTACGGCATTCAAAATCTTGCACAATTTTCACACGTTCGTCTTTCTGAAAAACGCCGACTTACCGCTATTTGCGGGTCATTGAACGCGGTAACAACGATGCGAGCGCACGTGCAAAATGTCCCGCACGTGTTTCTGGGTTAATGCTGATTTCTGAAGCACAGAATTTTGAATCGCTTTCAAATGTAAAGGCCTGTTTTAAACGTAAAAACCATGTGAGAATGTCTTTATTGTGCTGTAATATATATTATACAACATTGACATGTGTATAGGGATTCCAAAAAGTCACCTTTTGTCACTTTTTATTTAGATCTGCTTTGGCTATGTCCTCATTTCTATGTAAACGGGATTTTTAGCAATCAAACCTAATGTTACGAAGCATATATTACATTGTAATAAAAGTCTCTGTTTTGAGTGATTAGATCTACATGTTTCCATTTAAAACAAAAAACAAAACAAACAAAAACAAAAAATAACGCTATTTGACCGAGATGCATGTTTTCATGATACTATTAAATTTTCTTGATTTTGACATATTTTGATAATGCCTTAGGAAAAGTTAATTTTGCTAGTTGTGGACAATGCAAACGTGGTTGCCTCCCTTTCCAACATACTTGTCATCTCGATAGACCCGTTGAAGTCCAGAAAGTAGTTCTTTTAGATTTTGAAGTGGCCTAATTTAAGTAATCTCTAGCTTGATTGGTCATAATTAAAGTGTATTTATTACATCTACTTTGAAAGTTGTTTTTGTGTATACTCCAGAAACTCATTTATTGGCGGAAGGATTAAAGATGATGTACTACCCACTACTAGTCAGGAGTTTTCAAAGTGGTGAATTTAAAGTGTTACAACATAACAAAGATTTCTGAAAAAAGTAGATGGCTTGGGCCTCATTTGACTAAGATAGTGTTGATGTTTAAAGCTGAAGACAGAATATAATTCACCAAGAATGGTGGAATGCAGAATTAAGTCTCAAATGTGTCTGATTTACTATAGAACAAAGAATGCGAAATTCACTTGCCCGAGACCATTATTGTATTGTAACATTGCCCGCGATTGGCTGCAAAAAGTGCAGGGAAACCCGTAAGATTCAAAGGAACATCAACTGATTGGATGAAAATGTAAAGGTTGACAATTTCTTATTTGGATATTTGCAACTGATGTATGGTGATGTATGGAAGTCCTATGATAAGCAGAAAATTTTAGAGAAAGGTTGGGTTCTCATCTTAGGGGACGTTTTGCGAAAAAATTAAATCGGCCAACACAACCCCCTAAAAGGCTTATCACCGTTGGTTGTGTGAGATTTACTGCATTCCATGATGCGATCAAGTGGGTTTTATTGCGACAAATCCCCTTAAAAGGCTTATCACCGTTTTTGGTTCTAGTTTGGAGGGTGTCCGTTAAACAATAATTTAAAGCCCAAAGCCTTAACCAAATCAATATGACAGCGAGATTTCCGAGTGGCATGGTCGTTTTCTGGGCCAGCGATTTGTTCTTTCTGTATATAAATGATCATAAAAAAACACCTTTTTTCTAGTCAAACGTTTTAACACCATTTGTCTGATTATTTTGCAGATTCGATTTTGTACAAGAAGATTCATTCCTACACAGTATAAAGCCCAAACGCCTAACCCAATTGATATGTCCGCGTAGCATGGTCGTTGTCTGGACCGGAAATTTCTTCATTCTGTATATAAAGTCAATAATTTTTCGAAAGAAAAAAGCATTTTCTCGAACAAATCGTTTAAACATCATTTGCCAGATTTATTTGCAGATGCGATGTTGTAAAAGTTTTGAGTGCCATTCCTACACAGTATAAACTTAAGAGCCCTAACACAATAAATATGTCCGTGAGATTTCCGCGTGGCATGATCGTTATTTGGGCCGGCAATTAATTCTTTCTGTATATAAATAATTGTAAAAACCACCATTTTTTTTAGCCAACCATTTAAAGACCATTTGTCTTATTCATTTGCAATTTCAATTTTATACAAGTTTTGTGGGTCATCGAATCCACATTGGAATCAGACAAATGGTCTTTAAACGGTTGGCTCTGGAATATGGTGTATTTTCCGAAGATTTATACAATTTATATAAAGAACAAATCGCCGGTCCAAAAATGACCATGCCATGCGGAAATCTCACGGACATATTTCTTGGGTTAGGGCTTTGGGCTTTATGCTGTTTAAAGAAGACCCTCCAAATTTGTACAAAATCGAATCCGCATTGGAATCAGACAAATGGTCTTTAAACGGTTGGCACTGGAATATGGTGTATTTTTCGAAAATCTATACAATTTATATAGAGAAAGAACAAATCGCCGGTCCAAAAAAAGACCATGCCATGCGGAAATCTCACGGACATATTTCTTGGGTTAGGGCTTTGGGCTTTATGTTGTTTAAAGAAGACCCTCCAAATTTGTACAAAATCGAATCCGCATTGGAATCAGACAAATGGTCTTTAAACGGTTGGCTCTGGAATATGGTGTATTTTCCGAAGATTTATACAATTTATATAAAGAACAAATCGCCGGTCCAAAAATGACCATGCCATGCGGAAATCTCACGGACATATTTCTTGGGTTAGGGCTTTGGGCTTTATGCTGTTTAAAGAAGACCCTCCAAATTTGTACAAAATCGAATCCGCATTGGAATCAGACAAATGGTCTTTAAACGGTTGGCTCTGGAATATGATGTATTTTCCGAAAATTTATACAATTTATATAGAGAAAGAACAAATCGCCGGTCCTAAAAAAGACAATGCCATGCGGAAATCTCACGGACATATTTCTTGGGTTAGGGCTCGCGGCTTTATATTGTGCAAAGAAGACCCTCCAAACTTGTACAAAATCGAATCCGCGTTGGAATCAGACAAATGGTGCTGAAATGATTGGCTCAAGAAATTGAGTACATATAGCGTTCATTTTATAATAACTGACTGTGCATGACCTCAAATCCTATAAGAAAGTTCCCTAAAGTACGTTTATTTGTCACACTAAACATACTTTCATTTTTATAAAGTATCGAAATAATGTAAATCAGTTTTAGAAGGATGTTGTCTCAAAGATGTTGCTTTTACTGCCAATTTACGGTTATAGAGAGAAAGAAAAGCAAATCGTCAGTCCAAAAAATGACCATGCCACGCGGAAATCTCCCGGACATATTTCTTGGGGTAGGGCTTTGGGCCTTTTATTGTGCAAAGAAGACCCTCCAAACAAGTAGAAAATCGAATCCGCATCAGAATCAGAAAAATGGTTTTGAAACGGTTGGCTAAGGAAAATGGTGTTATTTATATAATTTATATAGAGAAAGAACAAATCGCCGAAACAAAAAATGAACATGCCACGCGGAAATCTCTAGGGCCTATTGCTTGGGTTAGGGCTTTGGGCTTTATACTGTGCAAAGAATATCCCCCAAACTTGTACAAAATCGAATTCGCATTGTAATCGGACAAATGGTATTTAAACGGTTGGCTTAGGAAAATGGTGTTTTTTTTAAATAATTTATATACACAAAGAACAAATGGCCGTAACTAAAACTATAATTTATATAGAGAAAGAACAAATCGCCGAAACAAAATATGAACATGCCACGCGGAAATCTCTAGGGCCTATTGCTTGGGTTAGGGTTTTGGGCTTTATACTGTGCAAATAATATCCCCCAAACTTGTACAAAATCGAATCCGTATTGGAATCAGACAAATGGTGTTTAAACGGTTAACACTAGAATATGGTGTATTTTTCGAAAATGTATACAATTTAAATAGAGAAAGAACAAATCGCCGGTCTAAAAAATGACCATGCCATGCGGAAATCTCACGGACATATTTCTTGGGTTAGGGCTTTGGGCTTTATGTTGTTTAAAGAAGACCCTCCAAATTTGTACAAAATCGAATCCGCATTGGAATCAGACAAATGGTCTTTAAACGGTTGGCTCTGGAATATGATATATTTTCCGAAAATCTATACAATTTATATAGAGAAAGAACAAATCGCCGGTCCTAAAAAAGACAATGCCATGCGGAAATCTCACGGACATATTTCTTGGGTTAGGGCTCGCGGCTTTATATTGTGCAAAGAAGACCCTCCAAACTTGTACAAAATCGAATCCGTGTTGGAATCAGACAAATGGTGCTGAAATGATTGGCTCAAGAAATTGAGTACCTATAGCGTTCATTTTATAATAACTGACTGTGCATGACCTCAAATCCTATAAGAAAGTTCCCTCAAGTACGTTTATTTGTCACACTAAACATACTTTCATTTTTATAAAGTATCGAAATAATGTAAATCAGTTTTAGAAGGATGTTGTCTCAAAGATGTTGCTTTTACTGCCAATTTACGGTTATAGAGAGAAAGAAAAGCAAATCGACAGTCCAAAAAATGACCATGCCACGCGGAAATATCCCGGACATATTTCTTGGGGTAGGGCTTTGGGCCTTTTATTGTGCAAAGAAGACCCTCCAAACATGTACAAAATCGAATCCGCATCAGAATCAGAAAAATGGTTTTGAAACGGTTGGCTAAGGAAAATGGTGTTATTTATATAATTTATATAGAGAAAGAACAAATCGCCGAAACAAAAAATGAACATGCCACGCGGAAATCTCTAGGGCCTATTGCTTGGGTTAGGGCTTTGGGCTTTATACTGTGCAAAGAATATCCCCCAAACTTGTACAAAATCGAATTCGCATTGTAATCAGACAAATGGTATTTAAACGGTTGGCTTAGGAAAATGGTGTTTTTTTTATAATTTATATACACAAAGAACAAATCGCCGTAACTAAAAACGACCATGCCACGCGGAAATCTCTAGGACATATTGCTTGGGTTAGGGCTTAGGGCCTTATAGTGTGTTAAGAAGACCCTCCAAACGTGTACAAAATCGAATCCGGATTGGAATCAGACAAA